CGATCTTGAGCTCTCTTGGCGCCGTCTCGGGGGCTCTTGTGCCCATCTTGGGGCTCCCTTAGGCCATCTTGGGGCCACCTTCAGGCCTCAAAAGCGCATCGGAAGAGAAAAGGCGATCAAGCAACACTGATTCATTTTCCGTTGGTTAAAAAATGTGGCTTCTTGTGGGGGGTCCCGAGGGGGCTCCGAGAGCATTTGGAACCGTCTCGTGGCCTTCTTGGGGCCTCTGAGATGCATGTTGGAAATGAATTTGAGCCATCGTCAGCTATTTGGGGCCATCTTGAAGGCCATCTTGGAGCTATCTTGGGCGAAAGAGGACCCTCTCACACCTCGCGGCCCCCCCGTCCAGATCCAGGGGGACAGGATAGGGGGAGGGGTCAAAACACCCTCCTAGATAGCAAGCCGTCTCGCTCACTCCCACCCGCCTTCCCAACACACAGGTAACACCCGAGCCTCATCATGTTCAGTGGTCGTCTTTGGATGGACAGCTACTGGGAACCAACACCGAACCCACGTGCGCGACGCTGGGGCGAGGTGCGCCACGCGTGCCAGGCGCGCCACGCGCGCCAGGCACCCCTGGGGCCCGAGCGTGCCAGGCACGCCTGGTGCGCCAGATGGGCCACGTGCTTCTGCGTGCACCAGGTGTGCCGCATACTCTAGTCGCGCCAGTTGCTCCACGTGCAGAGTGTGTCAGGTGCGCCTGCGCACGTGACAGCACACATCGGGAAACATGTGGCCCCCCACCATCCGTGTCGAAAACCAATACCCATCATTGTGTCTTGTGGGCCTGCGCACAGCAGGCCATACGCCACCACTTGACAGTGGTCGCGGGGTGGCCGCGCATGATCCAGATTTAGCCGCGAGGTGCATTTTGTAATGTTTTTGGTCAGGGATGGTCGCCCTGCGCGCAGGTAATCTGCTGACACCCCCGCCGTCCCTGTCAAAAAAAAAATACGAAGTGCTCGCGGGCCTTACGAACATTACTCCAGACTTTGCTCCAAAGTGTACCTTGTATTGTTTTTGACAGGGAGGGTCGGGGGGTGCCCTCATGGGGTCCTCATTGTTCCTGGCTGGCTGCCGGTCGCCTGGGGGAGGGGGTGTATATGAATAGCGAACAGTGACTGAACCCTCCCCCGAAGGGCAAGAAGGGGAGTGCACGAGGAAACACCCTAAACCACTTCCTCCCAGAGAGCTGGTGAGATTTGCCTGGTTTGGCCCCTGGTTTGGCCTGATCTGGCCGGGCGCCCCGCCTGATATATCCTCTGAATTTGCCTCGGGCCTTAGTTTGGCTTGGTTTGGGTCCAGTTTCGCTCTGACATCCTCGCAATCTGCCTAGTTTGGCTTGGTTTGGGCACGGTTTCAGCTGTGGTGACGAGGACTCTCCAGGACGAGCAGTAGCATCGGTAGCCTTTAAGGCTCAGACATCCGACGACCTGTTTTTCAATCCGCGGCCTCAAGGCTCCCGACCCCGTCCCCGGCGGTAGTTTTTCGTCCCCAGTCCGTTTCTGTTGGCCTACGGCCAAGACGCTGAAATAAGGAACAGTTTGGATTCGGAAGGGGCTCGATGTTCCTCACGTCCTCCCGCGGTTGTTCCTCCAGCCCTTCTCGTGCACCCGGGCTTTTTCCCACCACCCACCAAACCACCCTAACCCAACCCGAAGGCTTCAATTTGTCCTCCATTTCCAGTGTGGGGGGGGTCGGGGAACATTGAAAAAAACACATATGGAACCCGTACCCCCCCCAACCCGAAATTGGGGTCTTCGGGTTGGGTTGGGGTGGTCTGCTAGGTAGTCATTTTGGTAGTTATTTTCGTAGGGGCCCGATGACGGGCCCTGGAGGCCGAGATCGAGGAAGAGCGCCGGGACTGAAAAAGGAGCCGGATCGTCGGAGAGCTGTGGAGGAGGAGCATAAGCCGCCGCTCGCCCCCCACCTGAGATCTGACGTCGTGCCTGATGTTGCCACGACGGGAACAACCACGACTGGAGAGCCCTCGACTCCAAATTAGGAGGAGGGAGGAGGGAGGAGGAGGAGGAGGAGGAGGAGGAGGAGGAGGAGGAGGAGGAGGAGGAGGAGGAGGAGGAGGCGGAGGCGGAGGCGGAGGAGGAGGAGGAGGAGGAGGAGGAGGAGGAGGGCCAACCACGACTGGAGCCCTCGACTCACATATGTCAGTTGGGCTTTCCGGGGGCCGGATCGATCGATCCGCGAGGCCCCCCGGGGTCCGAAGCACGGCGGAGACGCCCAGCCACCGGGAAAAACCACGACTGGAGCCCTCGGCTCCAACATGTCAGTTGGGCTTTCCGGGCCGGATCGATCGATCCGCGAGGCCCCCCGGGGTCCAAAGCAGGGCGGAGACGCCCGGCCATCGGGAAAACCACGACTGGAGCCCTCGGCTCCACATTTCTGCTGCGCTTTCCGGGCCGGATCGATCGATCCGCGAAGGCCCCCGGGGCCCGAAGCAGGGCGGAGACGCCCAGCCTGGAAGAGTTGCAGCGCCCGGATCTCAGGGCCTCTCCGCCCCCCGACGCCTGGACAGGCCGCGGCCCGCCGGCGGCATGCTGCAGGGGACAGGGGAGGGCACCATCTATAGATTCGGACGCAGCTCCCCAACCACTTGGCAGCGCAATGAAGAGCCATCAAGGGCAGTCCGCGGTAGAGGAACACCGTGTCTTCGACCTGTTCTGGACCTCTGAACACGTAGCAGCAACAACCCACCACAGACCTTTTTGGGACCTTTCTTCGTCAGATCCAGGATCTGCAGAGTGAGGCGGGTCTCGCGCAGCACGGTCCTGGGAGGTCAAACTTTGAGCTTGCCCTGGTCCGAAATCTGGCTGAATCCGGCCGAATCCCGCTTGCTTCATCCCTTTCGTAATCCGGTTTCATCTTGCTTAAGCCGAAGCCCACTCCGGCGTAACATCCCCCCATAGGGCGTAATGCTCAATCCTCCTCGATCCTTCCGACGACCACCTCCCAGCATCTGCCTCCTAATATATTCACTTGCCCCGATCCTGGCCACGCCGAGGGCCCAGGATCGGTGCATGTGCCTTCCTGTCCAAGCCAGACAGCAGCCGCTCCGTCTCCGCTGGAACGTCGTCGTCCTCGTCGTCCTCGTTGTCCTCGTCCTCGCCCTCGTTGTCCTCGTCCTCTTTCTCGTCGTCCTCGTCCTCGTCGTCCTTGTCCTCGTCGCGCTCGTCGCGCTCGTCGTCCTCGTGGTCCTCGTGGTCCTCGTTGTCCTCGTGGTCCTCGTCCTCGTCGTCCTTGTTGCCCTCGCCTTCCTCGTCGTCCTCGTCCTCGTCCCCGACTCCCGGACAGGCCGCGCCCCCTGGCGGCATGCTGCAGGTGAAGAACTGCCTGCCCGGCTCCGAGGCCGCGCGGCTTCTGCGGCCCGGGGACGTGCTCGTGGAGCTCAACGGCAGCACCCCCGCCGCCGCCGCCGCTTCGAAGCTGCTTGCTTGCGCTGGAGGGAAGAAAAACGGCTCGTGCCGCGGAAATATCACGACGCAAGGATTTTCAGAGGAGGAACAGGTACCATGCCCTCGTTCTGCCCTGTTTGGGTCTCCTGGGAGGCCCTCGCCGCCACCGCTGAAATTCTGGTCAGAACGCAACCCAGGAGAGGTCCGGGGAGTAGCAGTATCGGTAATTTTTGATTTCCCCTGTTTTTGTGAATTTTCGGCCTCACCGAGACCCAGGACTGTCAAAAACTAATGGGGATAAGACTGGCCTGGGGGAAGAGGGGTCGGGACTTCTGGGGCCCCGTATGGAGAAAAAATGGAGGACATCGCATGTCTTGGTATACCGATGCCGCTGCCCTTGCCTCGCGTTGGCCGTGTTGGGCCTCGTCGCCACGGCTCCAGGCGAAGCTCGGCCAGGCTGAACTCGGCCGGCTGAACTCGGCCAGGCTGAGCTCTGCCTGGGCCGATTTCTTCGGTAGCAAATCATGGGAGCTTGGTATACCCGCTTACTTTCGTCATTAGTGTCGATCAGCGTTGATTGGTGTCGATTGGCGTCCTTTAGCGTCTAGGAGCTGATTTGATAGCGCCGATTTAGCGTCGGTCGGGGTCGATTCGCGTCGATTTAGCGTCGACGAGCGTCGATTTAGCGTCGATCAGCGTCGACTCGCAAAAGCCGACAAGTTGGTGTGTAAGGCTCCCCTGAGTTGCCACCGAAGCGTTCAGCCTGGCCGAGTGCAGCATGGCCCCCTCATCGGGCCCCGGGACCATCACAAAACGGCTCCGGGGACGCAGGAGGAGGAGGAGGAGGAGGAGGAGGAGGAGGCGGCGGAGGCGGAGGAGGCGGAGGAGGGGGCGGCGGAGGAGCAGGAGGAGGAGGAGGAGGAGGAGGAGGAGGAGGAGGAGGAGGAGCACCTTCCCCTGGGGAAGCGGGCGGGGGCTCTGCGCCTGGGCGTGTCGTGGCCCCCTCGAGTCGGCCGTGGCACGAGGGCCCTCACCGTGCCGTGGCCCGTCGCACATCACGAGGGGCAAAGGCACGCAGACACGCAGACACAGTGGACCTTCGATTCCCAGGAACGTATGGGGAGCTATGGTTGTGGAAGTCGATTAATGGAGAGGAAGCATGCTGCCAATAATTTTTAGATGTTTTAAATATGATTTAAATATGTTTACACATAAACATGTTTGAGGCAGTATTAGAACATGTTTTACACATTCGAACACATTTTTAATTCAGTGAGAAGATTGTTCGAGTGTCCAGTGTCATGACATCCACAAGAATATTGGAAGTGGGGGGGGCAAGACGAACACCCAGGAACCATGGAAGAGTACGGGGAATCCTGGGATCTGTGCCTGCTTATTTGTGCGTCTCAGGGCTCCTTCGGTAGAACGATGCGGGATGAACAAAAGACAGCCCCCAGGAGAGAGGGTGGGGGTATCTGGGGACCTTGTGTTGAAAAACCAAGGCATCGGATATCTGGGAAAGGAGCCCCATGGGGCCCCGCAGGTGTACAAAAGGTGTACCTTTCTCACCCCCCCTCCTAATTGCCCACTCATTGAGCCACGCCCGATCTTTGGTCCCTCAGCTGCCGCCGCCAGCTCTTCGCCTCCGGCGCAGTCACATGAGGTCGTTTAAGGGTTGCTCCTCCTCCCCCTCCCCCTCCCTCCCTCGTCCTCCTCCCCCTCCTCCCTCCCCCTCCTCCCGGCCTGTTCCTCCTACCTCTTTCCTCCTGCCTCCTCCCTCCTCCCCTACTCCTCCCTACCCACCCCCTCCTCTTCCTCCTGCGCTCCTTGTCTTTACAATACCTCCTCCCGGTCGATTCACGAGACGGGTCGGTAAGGCGGTCCTGGCGTTTCGATGGGGACTCTCTCGCCATGTATGCCCCTGACGCTTGACAGTTGCAAGAGTTTCACGGGTGGAGGGCGGGCGGTTTTCAAAATGTGTCTCTCGCCTTAGCGCCGCGCGCACGCGCTTTAAAAGCTCGCAAGAGTTTCACGCGTGGCGGGTGGTTTTCAAAATGTGGCTCTCGCCCTTGCACCGCGCAGATGGAGGGCGGATCGTTCTCAAAATGTGCTTCTCGCCGTATCGCCGCGCACATTTGTCGCACAAAATTTGCGAGAGCTTCACGGCGGAGGGCGGGCGGTTTGTCAACATGTGGCTCTCGCCGCAGCACCGCGCACATTCGTTGTAAAAGTTTGCAGGATCTCTTTGAGGGATGGCGGGCGGTTTTCGAAATGTGGTTTTCGCCGCAGCGCCGCGCACATTCGTTCTAACAGTGTTCAGCAGATCCAGGGGTTCTTAGGGCTGACGCCCCAGAAGTGGTGTTTTGGCACGGTTTACGATTGTCGGGGCGCGACGGTCATGTTGATTCGCGGTCCCAGACATGGTGCTCTGGCGCAATTTAGGATCGCCAGGTCGAAGCGGTAACGTTGATTCGCGGCGTTGATGTCTCAGGAATGGTAGTTTGGCACGGCTGAAGATTTTCAGACGGTTGTCTTCTAACGGGGCTCTTCCCGCAGTCTAAGTAGCCGAGGTGGAAATGTATCCATAACCACCGCCTGGGGGGTCGATCTTCGCGGACCTCCGGTGGATCGAGTTTTCGGGCCCCCTGGGGCATATATTTATATGTCTCTATATATATATATATATCTGTAACTATATATATATATATATATATATATATATATATATATCCATGCCCGCTGGGACACCAGGACGTCGGTTCCCAGGCGGTGGGTATGGATAAGTCCCCGCCTCGCAAACGGATCATTACAGGAGCCTGTGACGAGGGAATCTGGAGGGAGGGTTGACTGCAACGTCTTTGATGAGCCTTGGGTTTGTACTGCTGCTCCTCCTGCTGCTCCTCCTGCTGCTCCTCCTCCTCCTCCTCCTCCTCCTGCTCCTCCGCCGCCCCCTCCTGGGGCTCGGGAGGCCGCCTGGCTGCGTTGGGGTCGTGGTCCTCGCCCCGTCACCGCACCCGCGGGCCGCGCCAGAGTGGGGTCTCTCGGGGCCGCCGCCCAGCAGCTTCTGCGGCGGGCGTCCCCCGCCCAGCGCTCGCTGCGCACACTGTGCGCCGCGGGTCGTCCGCACAGGTCTCTCGGCCACCGTCTCTCTCCTCCTCGGCCATCGCGCAGGTCCTCTTCCTCCTCCTCCCCCTCGTCCTCCTCCTCCTCCTCCTCCTCCTCCTCCTCCTCCTCCTCTTCATTCATCCTCCTCGCTCCCTTCTTCGCCTCCATCTTCCATCCTCCGTCTTCCTCTGTCTTCCTCCTCCCTCCTCCTCCGCCTCCCCATCCACCTCCTCTTCCTCCTTCTCCATCCTCCTCGTTGTGCGCTTCCATCGGGTGCAGCTTCAGGCGCCGACGTTCGCGAGCGTGGTAGCCAAACGTGCTGCCTCACACTTCGCCGCACAAATCTCCGATGTGAGCTTGAGCGTCCAGCGAGCAAGCAAGTCTGCGCTGCGCTGTCCCGTAGCGCAGTTTCTCAGCAGCATAATTCTAGCATAGTCTCTCAGTTGGGCGCCCCCTGAGCTGGTCCCCTGGTGGCATTCCGGTCCTGACTCGGGCCTCCGGCGGCCGTTCGGAACGCTTCGGGAGCCCCGAGGACGCCCTCGGCGAGGCGCAGCTGCTAGAGAGCGTCCCGGGGGGTGGAAAGCTGCCGACAGCCCACGGAAGCGTCAGAATAAACCTCGAATTTCGAGCCTATTTTTTTAGACTCCCGCAAGTTTACTTGCATGGAGGGGGGGGGGGCTTGAACCTGAAGTAAGCCGCAAACTATTTGCACGTGCGGACACCACGCAAGTCGAAAGGCACTTGCACGCCAGTATTCGTCTGAAGAGGGGCGGGGGGGGGGGCGGGGGGGGGGGGGGGGGGGGGGGGCGAACGCCATGCAAAAAACAGGCTCTGGAAGCCGCTCGCCCTGTGCGCACCCTGCTACTCCCCGAGGCAGGCCCTGCGCCGACTTCGTCCTCCTCGACGCCGCCCTGGATGCGGCCGTGGGCGGCGCGGTGGGGCTCGCGGTGTGCCGCGGGGGCAGCCGGTGGAGATGGAGCTGCAGGCGCCCCCCCTCGGTCGGAGGGTAGGAAAGGAGAGAGGAGGCAGGAGGAGGAGGAGGAGGAGAGGAGGAGGAGGAGGAGGGAGGAGGAGGAGAGGAGGAGGGGAGGAGGGGGAGGAGAAGGAGGACGAGGAGGAGGAGGTGGAGGAGGAGAGGAGGAGGAGGAGGAGGAGGAGGAGGGAATGGGGGGGCGGAGGGGGAAGAGGAGGAGGAGGAGGAGGAGGAGGAGGAGGAGGAGGAGGAGGAGGAGGAGAGGAGGAGGGAGGAGGAGGAGGAGGAGGAGGGGGAGGAGGAGGAGGGGGGGAGGAGGAGGAGGAGGAGGAGGAGGAGGAGGAGGAGGAGAAGAGGAGGAGGGGTGAGGAGGAGGCGAGGGGGTAGGAGGAGGGAGGGGAAGGAGGAGTAGGGGGAGGAGGAGGAGGGGGAGGAGGAGGATGAGGAGGAGGAGGAGGAGGAGGAGGAGGAGGAGGAGGAGGAGAGGAGGAGGAGGAGGAGGAGGAGGAGGAGGAGGGAGGAGGAGGAGGGAGGAGGAGGAGGAGGGGGGAGGAGGAGGAGGAGGAGCAGGAGGAAAGACTGGGTACGATGCCCAACAGCAGTCCCTGTTCGTTTTGTACAGGGCTCGCTGTCAGCTGTCAGCGCCGCCGCGGAGGTTGCTCACGGAAGACAAGAGGCCGGCTGCCCAACGGCGGCCGCTGTCGGCTTTGGACAACACTTGCTGTTGGGCATCGTGCCGACTTTTTCCGTACCCATTTCGGGCGTCCAGAAGGCTTTTCCTAGACCTGCTCCCATTGAGGGACACGTTTTTGCAGCTTGGGGCCGGCCGGTGGTCTGAGATGGCCCAGCACTGGCTCTGGCCAGCAGGAAAGGGGGGCGACGCTCGAGGTGCTGGTCTCGAGAAGGCGTCTTGCCTTTTTCGGCCTCCAGGGGGCCGCTTAGGGGCCCTGGGACCGTCAAGAACAGATCCGGGGGCGACGACGACCACGACGACGACGACGACGACGACCACGACCACGACCACGACGACGACGACCACGACGACGACGACGACGACGACGACCACGACCACGACCACGACCACGACAACGACAACGCCAACCACGATCACCACGACGACGATGACGACGCCGACGCCGACGCCGACGCCGACGCCGACGCCGCCGAGCCCGGGGACCGATTCGGAGCGGCTTTGCCGTCGTTGAAGCCCCCGTCTTCACAGGGACTCCCTCGGGGCCCGTGCAGCGCGGCGCAGACACCCCCCGGCGGCCGCCTCCCGGTTGCAGGAGAGAGCACTCTGCAACAGACGGTCGGGAGCCACTTCTCAGGAGGGAAAAAAAACACAGACACAATTATTCGTCGATTCCCAGAACATATGGGAAGATATGGGAAGTGGGGGAGAAGGCAAACACCCAGAAAATATGTGAAACTATGGGGACTCATTTTATTTGTGTGTATTTATTTGTGTGTCCTTGGGTCCCTTCAACTTCGCATGGGCCCCCCCCCGCCCCCAGACCTTGGTGCTATGGAGCACGCGTGCCCGGAGAAGCGGGGCCAGACCATTCTCGAGCCCGTGATCTCGAACGCAGCGCTTGCCATTGTTACAGCTTCGGGCCTCCTAGGTGGGGTCCGAGTAGGTGGGGTCGGGGGATCGCGCCGCATCGCTGATGCATCGAGGATGCGGCTCGATGTGGAGACTGTGTTTCCCCACGCCGACGCCGCCGATGCATCGCCAACGTCGTCGATGCATCGCCGATGTGTCGCCGGCGATACATCGGCGATGGCGACGCGGCGCGATCCTTCGACCCCATCTACTCGGACCCCGTCTAGGAGGCCTCTGAAAGCTGGGGTGTGGGGAGGAAATTCGTTTCTTTGTTATGCCCACTTTTTCCTGTCAACTTTCGTGTCGCGGTCTCCAAAGGGGGGTCCCAGCCAGGCCCTGGGGCCGTCAGAGAACGCGTCGGGATGAACAGCCCTTCCAGGGGCTGGGACCTCGGGGAACCCCGTATTTGAAGGGGCCCTGAGACACACAAATAAATACACACACAAATACAAGGTTTCCCCATATTTTCCCATATTTTCTAGGTTTTTGTCTTCCCCCCCACTTCCCACATTTTCCAATATTTTCTTTGGAATCGACGATTAATTGTGTCTGTGTGTTTTTTTCCCTCCTGAGTATTGAACAAATCAGGACATCTGATGTCTGGGGATGGCGCCTCGGTCGCTTCGGTTTCGAGGGTTCTGCCTTCGAGATGTTCGCTGGCTCTTGGAGCTTCTCGGGTCCATGCTTTTCAGCGGCTGTGCCTTGTCGACAGCGTTCCAGGGGTCCCTGGATCGTCCGAACGGCCGCCAGAGGCCAGAATTCTGACCCGATGATCGAAACACATGGTTGGTCAGGATCGGGCGGCCAAAAGGGGGGGGGGACGGCTGGGGGGAGGTGGATATCATGGCCGCGGCCATGACATCTCCCCAGATGTCATGGCCCCCGCTTCTCATTTCAGTGCGTCCAGAACGACGGTTATCGGATCGGGAGGGTGCGGCTTAGAGAAAGGATCATGCCATCCATCTTATCGCGTATGTTGAAGGTGTTTGCTACACAGTCGTATCCTGCGTCTTCCCAGCCCTTTCCTCCCAACGCGATAATTTTCATCAGCATGTGCCCCTTGTCGGGGGCAACGATCGATGGAGGAGAGGCACAGGAGGGGATGCATCGGCCATTGATCGCCGATAGGGGCCCGATCGCCTTAACCTGCCCAGGAACGTGCGGATTCACTGTCGGGGGCCTATCGCCGATCCATCGGCCATGTGTCGCCGATTCCAGGTCGATGCTCCCCCCTTTTGCCTATCCTGAGATCTGACGGTGGGGAGGAACTGAAACATAGTAAAACAACAATCACAGCTGGAGCCCTAGAGACCTCATCTTCCTGCGCCGCTTTTCGAGCTGCATCGCTCTGTGAGGGTCCCAGGGCCCAAAACCAGGCGAAAACGCCCGGCTCGGAACAAAAAACAATCAGACGCCAGGATCTCAGGGAGGAGGAGGAGGAGGAGGAGGAGGAGGAGGAGGAGGAGGAGGAGGAGGAGGAGGAGATGGAGAAGGAGGAGGAGGAGGAGGAGGAGGAGGAGGAGGAGGAGGAGGAGGAAGAGGAGGAGGAGGAGGAGGATTGTCGCAGGCCCAAAAGGCAGAACAAAACCGTGGCGCTCAGCAAAGCGCGGGCCAACGTGCCCTGGCCAACGGCCAAAGTGACCAACGGCCAAAACCAAGGGCACACGCGCAAAAAGAGGGAATCACGGACACAAGCTGGGACCTGACCTCCGGCCTCCTTTCCTTGACTAACTCCCAATAGCGCCAGAAACGCTGTGCCTTAGGGAGGAAATCAAGGAAAAGAAAGCAAACCAAGGACCGCCCTACACCCCGCGCCAAAATGGCGCACGGGGGTTCGGGATCGGCGCCCAAGGGACAATACACGGAGCGTTGCCCAGCGCCCGCACCCTCACAAGCACGGCAACAGTGTGCCCGCGGCAAAGAGCACTGCAACCAAGAGGTTGCAGGCGGGAAGCCGCGGGCCCCGCCTCCGTGATCGTCAACGGCGGTTCACCTCAGACCAGTAGGTGCTACTGGGGTCTCCCCGCGCCCAGGCCGCACCTCTTGGCCGAGGTGGCAGGGTACTAAAAACCCTGGCCTGACAGCTGCAACGGCGACAGCGGCGGCAGCAGGGCGGGGAGGGGGGAAGGGCCACTCTCTGGCCCAGGAGAGCAGACAACGTCCACCCCGGAACTTAATCCAGGGCCGTGCCGCAACTCCCAAAGAGGAAAGGGGCGACGGACACGACGACGAAACGAGACACGAAGGACGACAACGAACGACCACGAACCTCCCAGAGGGAAGTGCCGCCCTCCGCCCGTTCCTTATCGCACCCGCGAGCGGGCGGGATAAGGAGCGTGACTTTTTCGGACCCACACCGCATTCAGGCGGTGCCACACGGAGCCCAGGCTGCACCGCTTATCCGCGGTGGCGAGGCATTTGAAAATTGCCTCGGCCTGACGGCAGGAGGAGGAGGAGGAGGAGGAGGAGGAGGAGGAGGTTGAGGAGGTATCCCTCCCCGTATCGGTGCCCCCCCGCTGGGCCGCGCGCACGTGCCGTGGCCCCTGATCTGCGAGCCCCCGCCTCTCGAGCCGTCTTGGGCCATCCTGTTCCCTCTCGGCGTTCTCTTGGCTGCCTCGAAAGCCGTCCTGGAGGCCATGAGGCTCCCAAGGACTTGGTTTTCGCCTTGAAAGCGCCCTGGGCGTTTTTTTCCGTTTTCTGCTTTAGGCCCTTGACAGACCGAAAACGGTACAACAAAAACACGCTACGTTTTCTTACATAGCGTTTTCATGGTGTTATGTTGTCTTTTGTGCGTTTTTTCCCTCCCCTTGTGTGTGTGTGTGCGTGTGTGTGTTGGGGGGCGTATTCAGGCTGAAGACGCAAAACAAAGTTTGAAAACGCTAGAACAACCCAACATTTTTTTAGCGTTTTCAGTTTTTTGTTGAGACCTGAAAGCGCTAACCAAATGATTTGCAAGATGCCGAGCTGAAAACGCTAAAAAAAGCGCCCTGGGCATAATCAAGGCAAACCGAGCCCAAGAAGGCCTCACCCCCCCGCCTCTTGAGCTGCCTTGGGCCATCCTGGGCCCTCTCGGCGTCCTCTTGGCTGCCTCGGCAGCCGTCCTGGAGGCCACGAGGCCCGAGAGAAGTCGAGAGGCCAGGACCTCGGGGACCCCCGCGCGCGCCGCCAACACCCCGATCGTCCCAGGAGGGCCTTTCTGGGGGCCGCCTCCAGGTTTCAATGTTTCCGCGCGGTCGGATCCCAGGGCAATGTTTCGGAGGATGAGAAGGTCCTTCCCTTGGTTTCCCCTTCTTCGGACTCCTGGGAGGCCCTCGTCGTCACCGCTGGATTCGCCTTGAAATTATGGTCAGAATGCACCCTGGGAGATGTCGGTGGAGTAGCGGTGCCGCACTTTTTGTTGTCCCCAATG